GTCTGAAGAAGGAGACATGTCGTACATCCCTGAAAAAAGTGTCGGGGCGGGCCAGGCAGCGCCCCCGCCCTACGCGCCCGTGAACTACGGCTTCAACCACAGCCCCTACGCCCCTCAGCCAGCCCCCTCGCCCCTTATGGTAGTGCCTCCTCCACCAGCTGCTCCTCAGCCGGCGGTGGTGATGGTGGGCTCTGCCTCTCTCCCGCCCGGCGTCTGCACCGTCTGCAGGGTGAGTTGTGATGCGAAGAGTTCCTCGAGCGCCATTTTGATTTAGAATTGTTGTCCCCAGAAACAAAATACAGGATGCTGCCTTTGTGAGAGGTTGTGATGAATTCCAGACTGACCCTATATAAGGGTTGACGACAGATTGTGGAAATGGGAGAGGCTGAATCTGGTATTGAATTAGAAATTGGTATGAATTAGTAGCCTATGTATTCTGTCCTCTCTGCTTCAGTGCTTTTGCGTTGATGTCTGCATAGTACTGCCTTACAATTTTCTAAGGTAAAATAGCACTTATTAGAATGTAAACCTAAGTTAGTACTAAACGACAGGCACTGCGTGTGTTAAAACAATGCCCTCTTCACCACTCAGGTTGGCAGGATCAGAGACACCGCCTCGTGCTGCACTTGGCTCTGGTGCTGCTTACTGCTTCCGTTTGGACTGATCCCCGGCATCATCGCCTTCTGCTGCTGCTGCCGCCATCCCAAGTGCAGCCACTGCGGCTACACCATTGACTAGTTGCTGTTGGTGCTGGGGCGCGGGGCTCCGGCCGTGCTGGGCGCCTGCCTCGCCTCCGGACTGCCTGGGGGGGGCTCGGTGGCGGTCCACGCTGGCTGCAGGACCACGTGATCAAGATTAATATACTCCAGTAATAATTCTGAGAAAGTGTGTCTGGCATATAAAGCTTGAAAGTGTGGACATTTGTTGACATGTATCACTTTATTTCACATAATGCAATGATTCCTTCACTTGTGTTTCTTTTGATAGTGAAAAACAATGTTTACCTTCTATACATCACTTTAGTTTCATATGATTAAAACATGAATTATTTTCATAAATATGAAGTTTTGGCAGCTAGTTACTGTGATTTCGTGTGCTCGATCATTGTGTTATAATGTGGTAATTCTGATTATGAAGATAAAATGTACTCTGCCATAAGCCCTTGGTGGAAATATATTTGTGGAATTTTTCGGTATAAATATATGTAAGGATGCAGAAAGAGAATGAAATTATGATTTTTCCTTTTTCCTCCACGAATATTGAATGAAATGGTCACAATTGTTATATTTTGGCTCTCTTTCTGTGAAGTTGTTTTATAGACGCAGTGTTCCAAAAGAAAATACATTATTCGTTTTAGGAAATAAACGACACGATGTATTTTCTGTAAAATATGTAAAGGCCATGTGAACAAACACACAGACACAGACACACAGACACACAGACACACACACACACACACACACACACACACACACACACACACACACACACACACACACACACACACACACACACACACACACACACAATGAAGAAATTACATGAATTCAGTCTCGACCTGTAAATACTGGACCAAGAAAGCAAAAGGGATTCGAGAGAGTAAGAAGAGAAGAGAGAAGTAGGATGACTGGGTTAAGGGGAGAAAAACTGGAGGAGATGCTGAGACATCTTGAAGGTAGCGGAGCAAAGAAGATTTTGGAATAGAGGAGAGAGAGAGAGAGAGAGAGAGAGAGGAGAGAGAGGAGAAGAGAGAGAGAGAGAGAGAGAGAGAGAGAGAGAGAGAGAGAAGAGAGAGAGAAGAGAAGAGTCTGAGGCTACTTCTAGTTGAGAGAGAGTCTGAGGCTACTTCTAGGTTGCTTCTGAGTCTGAGGCTACTTCTAGGTTGCTTCTGAGTCTGAGGCTACTTCTAGGTTGCTTCTGATGAGACTTCTAGGTTGCTTCTGAGTCTGAGGCTACTTCTAGAGTCTGAGGCTACTTCTCGGAGTCTGAGAGAGGTGGTTGCTTCTGAGTCTGAGGCTACTTCTAGAGCTCTGCTAGTCTGAGGCTAGTTGCTGAGTCTGAGGCTACTTCTAGTTGCTTCTGAGTCTGAGGCTACTTCTAGTTTGCTTCTGAGTCTGAGGCTACTTCTAGTTGCTTCTGAGTCTGAGGCTACTTCTAGTTGCTTCTGAGTCTGAGGCTACTTCTGAGTCTGAGGCTACTTCTAGTTTGCTTCTGAGTCTGAGGCTACTTCTAGCTTCTGAGTCTGAGGCTACTTCTAGGTTGCTTCTGAGTCTGAGGCTACTTCTAGTAGTTGCTTCTCGAGTCTGAGGCTACTTCTAGTTGCTTCTGAGTCTGAGGCTACTTCTAGTTGCTTCTGCTGACTTCTAGGTTGCTTCTGAGTCTGAGCTACTTCTTTTCTGAGTCTGAGGCTACTTCTAGCTTCTGAGTCTGAGGCTACTTCTAGTTGCTTCTGAGTCTAGGCTTACTTCTAGTGCTTTCTGAGTCTGAGGCTACTTCTAGTTGCTTCTGAGTCTGAGCTACTAGGCTACTTCTAGTTGCTTCTGAGTCTGAGGCTACTTCTAGGTTGCTTCTGAGTCTGAGGCTACTTCTAGTTGCTTCTGAGTCTGAGGCTACTTCTAGTTTGCTAGTCTGAGGCTACTTCTAGTTGCTTCTGAGTCTTCTGAGTCTGAGGCTACTTCTAGTTGCTTCTGAGTCTGAGGCTACTTCTAGTTGCTTCTGAGTCTGAGGCTACTTCTAGTTTGCTTCTGAGTCTGAGGCTACTTCTAGTTGCTCTTCTGAGGCTACTTGCTTCTGAGTCTGAGGCTACTTCTAGTTGCTTCTGAGTCTGAGGCTACTGTTGCTTCTGAGTCTGAGGCTACTTCTACTTGCTTCTGAGTCTGAGGCTACTTCTAGCTTCTGAGTCTGAGGCTACTTCTAGTTGCTTCTGAGTCTGAGCTACTTCTAAGTTGCTTCTGAGTCTGAGGCTACTTCTAGTTGCTTCTGAGTCTGAGGCTACTTCTAGTTGCTTCTGAGTCTGAGGCTACTTCTAGTTGCCTTCTGAGTCTGAGGCTACTTCTAGTTTGCTTCTGAGTCTGGGCTACTTCTAGTTGCTTCTGAGTCTGAGGCTACTTCTAGTTTGCTTCTGAGTCTGAGGCTACTTCTAGGTTGCTTCTGAGTCTGAGGCTACTTCTAACTTGCTTCTGAGTCTGAGCTACTTCTAGTTGCTTCTGAGTCTGAGGCTAGGCTACTTCTAGTTTGCTTCTGAGTCTGAGGCTACTTCTAGTTGCTTCTGAGTCTGAGGCTACTTCTAGTTGCTTCTGAGTCTGAGGCTACTTCTAGTTGCTTCTGAGTCTGAGGCTACTTCTACTTGCTTCTGAGTCTGAGGCTACTTTCTAGGTTGCTTCTGAGTCTGAGGCTACTTCTAGGTTTGCTTCTGAGTCTGAGGCTACTTCTAGGTTGCTTCTGAGTCTGAGGCTACTTCTAGTTGCTAGGTCTGCTTCTTGAGTCTGAGGCTACTTCTAGTTGCTTCTGAGTCTGAGGCTACTACTTCTAGTCTGTTCTGTTGCTTCTGAGTCTGAGGCTACTTCTAGCTTGCTTCTGAGTCTGAGGCTACTTCTAGTTGCTTCTGAGTCTGAGGCTACTTCTAGTTTGCTTCTGAGTCTGAGGCTACTTCTAGTGCTTCTGAGTCTGAGGCTACTTTCTAGTTTGCTTCTGAGTCTTGAGGAGGCTACTTCTAGTTTGCTTCTGAGTCTGAGGCTACTTCTAGTTTGCTTCTGAGTTGAGGCTACTTTCTAGTTTGCTTCTGGTGTGACTATTTCTACTTCTTCGCAGTCTAGTTGCTCTGAGTCTAGGCTACTTCTAGTTTGCTTCTGAGTCTGAGGCTACTTCTAGTTGCTTCTGAGTCTGAGGCTACTTCTAGTTGCTTCCTGAGTCGAGCTACTTCTAGTTGCTTTCTGAGTCTGAGGCTACTTCTAGTGCTTCTGAGTCTGAGGCTACTTCTAGGTTTGCTTCTGATCTGAGGCTAACTTCTAGTTGCTTCTAGTCCTAGCGCTACTTCTACTTTCTTCTGAGTCTGAGTACTACTTCCTTCTGAGTCTGAGCTACTCTCGTTAGGTTTGCTTCATGGTCTGAGGCTACGTCTAGTTTTGTTCTGATGTCTGAGGCTACTTCTAGTTGCTTTGAGCTGGGCTACTGTCTAGTGCTTCCTGATCAGAGGCTACTCCTAGTTGCTTCCTTTCCTCTCCCATTCGGAATTCCTCTTCGTCTCTTATCTTCGCTCCGAAACTTCATCCCTCTAGGTATGGTACTCGCTGCAGGCCCTCTCTCGTTTTCGGCGAAAGACTACTGAGGGCGTCCAGCCATCTGTGGCTTCTCTTCTGCCTGCCCTCATTCTCCTCGTCAGCAGCGTGGCGTTCTCTTCTGCCTGGCCTCGTTCCTCTTCTGCCTTGGCCTCATTCTCCTTCGTCCAGCAGGCTGTGGCGTTCCTCTTCTGGCCTTGGCCTCATTCTCCTCGTCCAGCAGGCGTGGGCGTTCTCTTCTGCCTGGCCTCATTCCTCGTCAGCAGGTTTCCTCTTCTGCCTTGGCCTCATTCTGCTCGTCCAGCAGGCTGTGGGCGTTCCTCTTCTGCCTTGGCCTCATTCTCCTCGTCCAGCAGGCTCTGGGCGTTCCTCTTCTGCCTTGGCCTCACTCTCCTCGTCCAGCAGGCTCTGGGCGTTCCTCTTCTCTTGCCTCATTCTGTCGTCCAGCAGGCTCTGGGCGTTCCTCTCTGCCTTGGCTCATTCTCCTCGTCCAGCAGGCTGTGGGCGTTCCTCTTCTGCCTTTGGCTCAGTCTCCTCCTCAGCAGGCTGTGGCGTTCCTCTCTGCCTTGGCCTCATTTCCCCTCGTCCAGCAGGCTGTGGGCGTTCCTCTTCTCCTTGGCCTCATTTCCTCGTCAGCAGGCTGTGGGCGTTCCTCTTCTGCCTTGGCCTCACTCTCCTCGTCCAGCAGGCTGTGGGCGTTCCTCTTCTGCCTTGGCCTCATCT